CCTGCAACTTAAAATTGCATACTCTGGCTATGTTCCCACCACTTGTTTCATTAAACGCTCAACAATAGCTATGCACACAAACATATATGCACATGTGGTGAGAGAGAACAAGTAATGGGAGGAAATGGGTGAGGGGAAAAAAGACAGCCAAAGACAAAAGGTGAATGAGCATGATTTGCTGAAGGAAGGAGTGAAGGTGAAGTTGGAAGTGGGAGAAATAGCAAGCTTTTATCCCCAACAGCCAGCAGGGACAAGCTGAGTGTTGCCATTTTTTTTAAATATTCCCTTTTTTTGCGTGCAAGGGTAAACGCTAGAAGAGATTTGACAGACTTGTAAGAAATCTCAGCGGGTTTAAACACAACGAGACAGAAAGTGTATGCATGTACCTTTGTGTATGCAGGTTTGTGCATGAATGTGTGTTGGAGAGAGTTGCTACTCCCTGTGAGACTTAAGATACCGCACCAGCCTCCCACTTTGTCTTCATTTTGACTTCCATTTGTGTTGAAAGGGCTACTTTTAAATGTTCTGATATGGGGGAGCAATTAATTAATATTTTTGGCTTTGTGGGCGTAGGTCAGTGACCCTGGGAGGCGGCATGTGCATGTGTGTGTATGCATGTGTGTGACCCGTAGCCCCTCCCCTTCTGTCCACCCCCCATTACCCTCTGCTTTCAGAGGCAAGGCTCTCATGCATAATGCAAAGAGAACAGGGAGGCTCTCATTAATAATTACTGCCGCCTTTGATGGATGGAGAAAATAACGAAGGGGGCTGTTAAAAATGGAGAGACTAAGAGAGAGACGGCTGAGGCGGGAGGGGGGAATTTAAGTTTTTTTGGGTGGTATTTGTTGCCGTTGTAGTTCTTTGAGGTTTGAATGCTTATGGGGATGGATTTGGACTTGGTATAGTCAAAACCTAGGCGGATGTTTTGGATGGTGTTAATATTTTGATTGGGAAGTAACTCCTCTTGTGATGGTGAAGGGATCTCTGAAGATGTGATGAGTCTTAATTGTCTTTGTGTTGGAAGCAGCTACCACTCAAGGGTGTTTTGTCTCTTGACTTCTTTTCTGATATTCCATATCATTAACCATTTCTTTGAGATGAAAATCCTTTGTTGTCCTTTTTTTATACAAGGTATCAAGTGTCTACTTTTGCTGTAAGGTTGAAAATAAAGTATTTGTTCTGTTGTTAAATAGCTTGAATCAAATTACAGCAGTCAGACCAGTATTTTTTATGATTTATGATGTTTATATCATCAAGTTTTCTTCACATAATTAATGTGCATATTTTATCCATACATAGATGTATATGCAAGCATAGGTGTGTGTGTGTGTGTGTGTGTGTGTGTGTGTGTGTGTGTGTGTGTGTGGGTGTGGGTGTGTGTGTGTGTGTTTGGGGTGGTCAGAACCTCGGGGTCAGCAGGGAAGGTTAGAGGAAACGGCAAAGCTGCAAGACCCCTGCCAGCCAGCCAATGAGAGTAAAGGCTCCGGTGGACAGCCAATGGCAGAGTGGCTTGGTGGCCTTTGATGGAGGGGCCACCATTAGCCCCGTCACTGAACAACAGTGCTGAGGGCAAGATGGACGATATCCAACACTGCAGAGATGGAGAGAAAGAGGGTGAGGGTAGAGATGGATGCAAAGAGAGACAAATGAGAGAGTGAGTTGAATTGTGGTATGGCATGGTTAAGGAAAAATAGGTGGAAAAAAGTTACATTAAAAAATATCTGTTTATGAAACAGTGAAATATGCAATCAGGGACCTTTTTTAGCTATGCTGTGGCTTCAGGGATGGTGGTGGTGGTCTGTAGGTTGGTCCACATTTCTCTCCAGACTTGAAATATCTCAACAACTATTGAATGGATAGCCTTGAAATTTGGCACCCACATTAATGCCCCCCCATCATGACGATTATAATAATTTTGGTGTTCCTAGCTTCTCATCTAGTGTGTTCAGTACTCTGGTTTATCAAAACTAAAGACATTCCCATCAGCCTCTAACCTTACGCAATAATCCATCTTTCTAGGGTTAGGGTCAATCTTTGCATTTCTGGTTAAACTACAGTGGTACCAGACCAATTGGCGTCCTTTGAGGAAGTACTGAATAGGGATGTCACGATACCATAAATATACTAGTCAGTACCAATACCAGTGAAATTCACAATTCTCAATACCCATTTCAATAATACAGTACAAAAATAATAATGTCTGCTGTTAAATCTGTGGCATTTAACAGCAGACTACATTACTTGTAGGCGCATATGCTGCCCCGTCGGGTCCAGAAGAATTGCATCCCTGGTATTTAGAGTACTGAAAGATTCAGAAATTTGGCATCGACATGGTACCGAAGTATCGGTTCTCTAGATATAGGACTGGCATCTACAGGGATGGGCGCAACGCTGCTAGCAACTAGAGAGAGAGTTGTTTTCGCTCTTCTCCCAACTGGCTTCAGGAAGAGTTTGACTACATTTAACAGTTTGTTGATCTGATTGGTTGAAGTTTGCCTGTGACGGTGATAGAAAGAGTGATAGGTGACAGAAACTAAACCAAAATACTTGAGGGAATGAGGGAATTATTCATGGTCCACCAGAACTCAACATGAGTTGCAGCTAACAGCAGCACGCCATACTCCTCTCCTTTCTCTACTCTCACCTTTGACAATCTGATATTAGATAAGACCCACCTTCTTGAAACTTGGCAACCAATCAAAAATGATAAGTGACAACCTGTGATCGTGACATTCCTGAGCATCTTGGCATTTAGCCCCAAGCACCGCTGTGTTTACAGCCTCACAGAGCCACTGGCATGGATGTAGACTTTTAGGCTTATCTATAGTATACTTAAGTTCTGTTTAAGGTACCACCAATGGAGGGGGGGAAGTTGTGTGAGAGGTTAAGAATGGAGGGAGACAAAAGATAGAGATTGTGTTGTGGTGAACATGGCCAGTTTGACTATAAAGCACTTATTTATCTGTAAAGAGGAAGGTACACACGCCTTCTTTGTTTTTCTCTCTAAGGCTAACCGTGCCTGTCACTTTCAGTTCATAGAGATGTCTATTAGCTTTACTCATGGCCGCTATGGAAGATTTTAAATGTAATAAAATAAGTTGCATTTCTGATAGAGATAATATTAAAGCGAATAAGCCCTGTACTGAACAGAGACTAATCATATGCACACATTTTGTCCAACAAGATAATCTCCACAACACACTTCTTTAAAATCATATTCGAACAACTCAAGCATTTGATATTGTTGATGAAATTTTCAGTGAATCAAATTCTCTGAGGCAGTCGGTGTGTGTCGGAGAGGAGGCAACGTCTGCTTGTCTGCTCTGATTTGAATGAAGACCAGATGAATACTTATAGCCATTATATCTGAACAGACTGTGTCACAGATAGGTTGTGACACTCTATGATGTAAGGTAACATTTAATCTAAAGAGAACAAGATCACTGTGTCAGGGAGATGCCAGCTCAAGCTCGTCTGCACAATATTGAAAATCTGTTTTCTCACACAATATAAACAAAAAGCAACAAATGAGATATTAGCAGATGTAACTTACAGAATGTTGTTTTACATAATGTATAACATTGCAAAGCTTATATGGGCAACAAAGCTTATTGCCTGAAGAAATCCAGGGGAGAGCAATGTAAAGGGAACACTATGGTATGACAGTGTCCACATCTGATTGGGCAATTCAGTTTTTTTTGTTTGTTTTTTTCATCTAAGGATGTCATCTTTGCTCTCTGCAGATATACTTGATTTCCCTCTACTGCTAGAGCACAATACACATTTCATCACACAAACTGACTACTTTTACCACACATTGCAAATTAAAGAGGCACTGTTTTACTCATTTAAAGCTGCACTAATCAACATTTTATATTCACAATCAATCAAATGACTATGTTTAGTAGGGTTAGTAGGGTCTGGTAGTGACAAGCCCACAAAGAATTATTGCTTAACCCTACAGTTCCCCTCAGCTCTATAAAGCATTTTAGCATCTTTCAGCTAATTGTGTTTGTCCGCTCTTACCATTTAACTCTGCAGCAGACAGCTGTTTTCAACAGAAAAAAACACTAACTGCCAAAGAGCAGACAGATAAAGTTAGCTACTAGCTGGTGCCTAAATAGCCAGAGTCTGTCGAGAGCAAACCAGAACTAAAAGGAGAGGGAATGACGGACAAAAAATTGTCAGATTGACATAAACAAATGAATGCTAATGTTACTCTGTGTCTTATGTGTAAATAGGGAAATGTTTGTTAACATGTTCACATATCAGCTTTATAAGACGATAAGACAAAGCTATGAAAGCCTTAAAGAACACACATGCCACTTGCCCAAGCCCATAACATCAGGCCAAAGATTAAAAAGACAAAGGATTTGGGCACCCTTGTAGCTTAAATATATATATATATATATATATATATATAGATGTGATATATATATATATATATATATATATATATATTCTATTTCTTTTGTTTTTTAAGAAAGAAAGATGAGGATTTACAACGATGGATGAAGAATAGAATGATGCTCTTCAGTAAAGAGGAGAAACAATGGCTGAGGGGGAGAAAGATAGATAAAGACCAAGAGAAGCCTGCCATGGAGTGGTCCATAGATGCCAGAGCTGCTCAGGATTGTAGCCTCTGAAAAGCATAGAAGTGATAGCAGCTGTTTGGTCTCCTAATCAAGGTACACTAGGCCTTCTCCAAACACACTGATGTAAAGCTGATGAAAATTTTGACAGTGCCACATAGATGACAAAGAAGAAGCAAATGCACCCACTAACATGAGCCCATACACCTACACACCGCAGGCCTCCCTAATGAATGCCCGAATCTGCTGTGATCTTTGAATTCATTTGGCTTCATGGATACAAGATGCAGGATGATGACATAATTGTGAAAACCTCTTCCATGCAAATGACATTGTGTCTGCGGTGATTGTGGTACTTATGCTTGTTTGTGGGGTGTCTTATTTTCCCTTTTGTGTGTGTTTACGCAGGTATGAGGCAGCAGAATGACCGTGGTACTCAGTATCGTTCAGCCATTTACACATCCAACCCCACTCAACAGGAGCTTGCATTGAAGAGCAAAATGGCCTTCCAGCAGGTATAATACCTGCACACACATCACAACGTTTCATTATGACATTTACTCAAGCATGGTGTCACATATAACCAAACCATGTGTGAAGTTAGAAATTTGCAGCAGAGCATCGGTTGAAAAGGTGTTAAAAGATGCAAATAATGGTTAACATTTTTTGTAATTTTCTGTTCCGCGTTGAGGCGTAACTTAAGACATGTTGCCACAGCTTCACACACATCTTTCCTGTTAAAAGGACTACAGATGTGCTGTAACTTTCTATAGTGTGGTTGTTTTTTTGTTCATTGTATCATGTCAGTCACAAAATGAGAATTATCAGAGGAAACAAAACATTATTTTGTCATCATTTCAGATAACTTTTTTTGGCCGTTAAGAAGAGCTGTAGCTGTAGTTTGGTGTCGTCCCAGTTATTTGAATAACAATTTAAAGCAAGTCTCTGGAGTGGTGACCTTTTAGAGTTTGATGCTGTTTTGTTAAGCAAAGCCACCACTGTTAAGTGGATCCCCATCTATATCCAATCGGTGACACCCTCTTTCCTGAACTGAAAGAGAGGAAGAGGGTCGATAGGTCATCAAAACTAATTTCTAAAGCTCGTCCTTTCAGTGACACACGCGTCCCCTTTTGTTCTCTTATCCATCTGTCCGTCCATCCATCCATTAGTCCATCTATCCGTTGATCCCTGCATCCGCTTGGTTTGTTTGCCTCTTCGCTCTCTAAATGGTATTCATGGACAAGCTGGTAGGGGGCAGAGGGGAGCAAATTATGATCGTCATGGTTACTTGGTGCTCCCGGGGTCAGTAGTCACAGGCCACGGGGCTGCCATGTTGCCACGGCAACAACCTCCCAACCTTGGCCTTGTGCTGGGGTCAGAGGTGAGAGAGGAGTGGCAGCTGGGACCAGGAAGGTGGTGAATTGGGGGGGAGGAAAAGCAGGAAAAGCGCAGTCAGATCAGAGGGCCATGACAGGCTATCAACTGACGGTGACCCCACACACACACGAACGCATCACCCAGGTTTATAGGCGGTGCATCGCAGTCTTAACAAACATAAAACCGCAACTGGTGTGGGACAATGAGATGAGGAGTTTAATTTATAAGGAGTGTATATTGAAAAAAGCATGGAGAGGAATGCACAGACTTTACAGTGTTTACCATGACTACATTGTGCGTCTGCCCCATTTCTGATACCGTGGCGGCAGAAATTTAACAGCGGCGGGCCACCGCTCCAAAATCAACATAGAGGAAACATTGCTTTATACATGCATCGCCCAAAGCTTGATGGGAAATGCACAGCCAAAATATAGTGATTATCAAGGAGTGTAAGCCAATATACCAACAATATAATTCCATTACAACTAAGCAAACTTCATCTGACGAAGCTCATGTGACATGGAAAAAAGTTTCAGAGCAGCAACTAAATGGACCTTGAACAACTTCTCCTACGTCTTCTTCTTCTTCTCCTCCTCCTCCTTCTCCAATATAATGATTGTGCCATAAGCCTGTGAATAAATGGGGAGAAAGCAAAACAGCCAAGAGTTCACTGGGTTAATATTACAGCACAAAAAGGCTATTATATCAAGCATTATCTTCTTGTCACCTCCATACTAGGGAAGGCTAGGAACCGTAACCCAGTTTACAGCAGACACACCCATTTACTAACATTCAGAGGAGAAACAGCACTCAGACACTTCGCTTGTTCTCCCCTTCTCTCTCCCCACCAACGCTGCTGACACCACCGATCTGTCAACCACTTCAGTGGCACCCCAGTTTCATCTGAGGGCCACTGGGACACATAGCTTCTCAAAGCAGCTGACACGCTCTGAACCAAAATGGCAGCTTCCTGCCCCTGAAATGGTTGCCTTGCCGCATTGATGCTGAGTCTCAAGAGCGCCTGGCTTGAAAATGGCATCCATACAGAGGAAGGGCTTGCTGTGTGTGTCCGTCTGCACGTGTGAGGTTGTGTGAGTGTGTGTTTTATCCTAAAAGGCCAATTCTCTTTTTTAAGGAGAAGTGGGTGCATGTTCGGTAGAGTGACAAGAGAGAGTGGGTGGAGGCGATCTAAGACGATCAGAGATAAGACAGGCATCACAAAATCCAGATTCCACCCCACTGCCAGTCCATGACTCACACACACACTCACATGTACGTACAGACACACACAGACATACATTTGGCACATACACGCACAGCCCAATGAATAATTAACCCATACGAAGAGTCTCTTCTGCAGGGCTTTCAGTTTCTTAACTTCAGCATTGGGGGGTGAGGGGGTGGGGGTGAGGCAGAAAAGCTTGTTTAAGCACGGGAGCTGAGAGGGGGAGGAGAGGGAGGGGGAAGGGAGAGGGGAGAGGAGAAGGGGGTTCTCTATAATGAAATTTGAAATTTGCAGAACATCAAAGGCTTCTGTAGCCAAGCCGCTGTGGCAGCAGAGCAGAGAGGAGGAGTGCATCTCTTTTCTCTCCCTCTGTCTCTCTCTCTCTCTCTCTCTCTCTCTCTCTCTCTCTCTCTCTCTCTCTCTCTCTCTCTCTCTCTCCCTCCCTCCATCCCTCCCTCTCTGCTAAAATGTGTCTCCCCAGAGCTGGGTGGGGGGGTAGGGGTGAGCGGAGGGTGAGAGAGAAGGGATGGGAAGAGTTGATTAGGAGGAGAGTGCAGGGTGGTGGTGGGGGTGGGTTAGAGATGGGTTAGGTTTTGGAGAGAAAAATGGAAGAACGGGGGTTCTATATATGTATGTGTGTGTGTGTGTGTGTGTGTGTGTGTGTGTGTGTGTGTGTGTGTGTGTGTGTGTGTGAGTGAGAGAGAGAGAGAGACACAGAGAGAGAGGGGAGAGTGTGTGCATGTATGAACAATAGGTTTTATCAAGCCAGCTTGAATATTGCATGTGTATGCGCACATGGATGTGTGTAGGGCCTTGGAGGGGTGAGTGTGCCCTCTGATAAGGCATCCTAACTTAATGAGCTTGAAAGGGGGGAGGCGGGGGTGTTCGGATGATGGTTGGGGAAAAAAGGGGGGATCGTTTGGGGCTGGAAGTCTTGAGGAGAAGCTCGAGGGTTGTTAAAACGGGGCACAGCATGTCACACAAGCTCACATCTCTCATTTTGGAAAGTCTTCAAAAGTCAGATTTACCCTTCCAACTACTCCCCAGCTTTCCCGTGCTATAGTCTGAAAATCGGCATCTATATTTTTTGCTTTGTGCTGCGGTAATCGATAGCAACAAGACGTCTTTCTCGTGCAACCACAAGACAGTATTGGCTAAGATATAACAGTTAATAGAAAATTGTTAGTGGTATATTCGGCACAAATAACTTTTAATTGCCAGAAGGTAAATGCTCATCCCTCCAGTGAGATATTGTCTAAGCACTGCAGCTGAAAGCCGATCACTTTTCACAAGAATGCAGGGATGATCTTCTGCGTTTTTCGGTCTTCAGATGTTGAGCTACTTGTTGTCTGACCTTAAAAAAAAACAAAACAACAACAACAACAACAACAAAAAACGTAGGAGCGCGCACCGCCTCGCTCCGAGACTGAAGTGTGTGCATCCTCTCTCCCTCTCAAAATGTAGGAGTGTTGGCTTCCTCGCTCACAAAATGTAGGAGCGCTCGCTGAAGATTAGAGCCCAGCTAAAATGGATGCCTGACCCCGGCTGAGAAAGAGAAAGAGAGAGATGAACGGGGGCAGAAAGGGCAGGGCATCCTCCGTGCATAGACAGACAAACAGAGGGAATATACATCTTTTAACTCACACGCGCAGTATTGTAGATGGGTGTTTTACATATATGGTATTTTACAGAACCTCACAAGAACAAGAAGCATAATGTACTCCTCTTTCATAATCTCTGTCTTTCAGGCTGATAATCTTCCATGCTCTCCTCCTTTACTTCACTCCACTTCTCCGTGTGTGTCTCTGCACCATCTCTGTGTCTCTCCCTGTTCTGTCTTTCTTCTTGGTCCTCTCTCCATCACTCCAGCTCTGTCTTTCTCCCTGAGGTCATTGGGGGCAAGCGTGGTACTGCGGACTAGTCAATAAGAATCATGTCAGGCTATTTCATGTGTTTTCAGGCAGAGTCACAGCTATTAGCAGTGTACCGCAGAGCAGCTTTGCTGTATTTAAATTTTTGTGATGTTGAGGAGCTTTTTATGCTCCGGCGTTCAGGTGTGCGGCTGCCGTCAACGTAACATTGGCTTTAGATCTCAGCCAATGAGATCAAGTGTTTTGTGGGGATGTACAAACCATTTGTTGTCTTTGGTCTTTATGTTCTCAGGAGCAGTAGGGGAAAGTAACTCTTGGACATTTAAGTGCTTTTAAGTACAAATTTGAGGTGCTTATTCTTAATGTATTTTTTATTTTATTCATTCATTTCAAAGGGAGTCTTTATTTTTTGGCAGCTGAAGTCACTAGTTAGTAGTAAAGGCTAATAGCTTCACATATATATGACCAGTTAAATATTGGAATATTATAGATTAAAATGCCCAGCAGTATATGAGGTGTTTCAAATTATCATCTAGACCAGCCACAACATTAAATTCTGTATACACAGTTATGCATCAATAATGATAATCCCTAATAACCTAATAGCAACATAACACCTTTTCTAGGTGTCATTCAGTGGCCTAATGAGTACTTTCACATTTGATAAACAGTACCTTTGTACTTTAAACATTTTAAATTAATGTAGGACTTAATACTTGTAATGCAGTACTTTCACATTGCAGTTTTTTTTTAAAAGTAAAATTAAATTAAATCAATACATCTTGCACCACTGCTAAGTCATTATATGTACATTATAAAAATTATTTGGCATACTTAATTATGGTAATGCCAATTAAGCACATTTCAATTTGAGACTGAGATGAGGACACCAAGTAAAATTAATAAAACGATAGAGATGAGTAGCCAGAGAAATGGTAAATAGTGCTAACGACACACCAGTAACAGGAGTGGACTAAGGGATGATTACATAAATCACCAAATTGAGGTCATAGCCCTCTTCAAATGTCTTCGCCATGAGTCATCGAGTGTCACAAACTCTATGTCAATGCGCGTCTCTTCCCAACCACTCTGCAGCCGTAGGCCTTCCGAGGGAAAAAAACAGAGAGAGACAAGTGGGGTAGGAAGAGAGGAGAGAGTACATTTTCCTCCTCCTCCTCTTCCTCCTCCACCTCCACCCCTCTCTCGGGGTGTCACGTCCTATTTGTGTCCCGGGGCCGTCTCTCTGGCGATGGTGATGGCGAGGGGCTCTCTCGCTTGGCTGGAGAGCAGGGAGGACTTGGTAGCACGAAGCGGTGGTCTGTGCTCACATGGGAGAGAGAGAAAAAGAGAGAGAATCAGCAATAGAGGGAGATGGGGAGAGAGAGAGAGAGAGAGAGAGAGAGAGAGAGAGATGCACCCGTTCAGCCATGTCTTTGACAGGGGAGTCTTTCCGACAGGCGTGAAGAAAGGAAGGGCTGACTGGGCTGAGTGAGCTCAGCCCTTGACACACACACAGACACACACACACACATACACACACACAAACATGCTTTTGTCACTTACGAGGACATTGCATTAACTTACATTCATTCCATGGCGATTTAACCTTACATTAACCATTAGCAGTACATGCCAAACCCCAGCCCAAACCAAAAAGACAGTCTTTACTCTAAATTATAAAGGTTTACCTTGTGGGGACTCACTTTTTGTTGTCAAATGGGAAGTGAGTCCCCATAACGTGGCTGTGTGTCGTGATTTTTGTCCCCACAGTCATACAAATAAACACACACACTGAACTACACCTGACGTGTCCGGTATTCATGAGCCTCTGTTTTCAAGCCTTACACACACAAACGTAGATGAACACATTTGTCACCCTCTATGCAGCCATCGTTTAAACATCCTCATCAACAGCATCGAAATGCTCAACTTGAGGTCATCTAGTTTGCTCTTCCTCTCTTGAATTTTCTCTCCTCCATCTTTTTACCTTCCACATTCTTCCCTCCATTCCTCAGCTGCTGTTGCTGCTGCAGTGAGAGAGAGAGAGTGAAGCCACATAAGGTTATACACAGTGGCGTAACGCCATGCATTCTGATTTATAGATCTAAAATGGCCGCCGTGTTGTGACTGCTGTAGAGGGCTGGATGGAGAGCGAGGAAGTCATGCGGGGATGTCAGGGCGGGGGTGTATGTTTGCCCAGAATAGCAGACCTTTTCTTGGACATTGTGTTCTCCTCACATGAAGCATCCTCTGCCCCGGAGGGTTTGCTACTACAGTGGTTTGGTGATGATGACTGATTAATTAGGCCATGATGTACAAAGCTCCACGCTTGTGTCGGCCGGTTTACAATGCTGTTGGACAGGCAAAATGGGTTCTCCTGTGTCAGACTGCACACATTGTGCATTTGTAAGGTAAATACGTCCATGCTTGTGAGGTGGGTGTTCTGTGTTGAGGGGCTGCGTTGTGCTGTAGTTTGGTTTGTGGACGTTGGGTCCTTCCTGCAGGGAGATTAGAGCCCTCACATTGTAGCGGCAGCCACTGAGGACTTAGAGGTCAGCTGCTGCCTCAGCCTCTCTGTGGGGCGCAGAGCTTTGATTTACTGACTCCACTGCATCACCTCCAGCACACGCACGCACGCACGCACGCACACCCACACACGCACACACGCACACACACACACACACACACACACACACACACACACACACACACACACACACACACACACAGCTTGTACCACACTGCCTCCATGTGGATAACATTATATACTACCCTGCTGCCCTTCACTGACATTATTCCCTTTAATAGATTAGTGGTGATATTTTTTTATATCACATGCACAATGATATATATATATATATATATATATATATATAATGAAAAATTATAATGATTATGAGACAATGAGCTGATACCTGCTCCAAACAATTGAAAAGTTGGGTGATAATTCTTTGTGTGAGTTAAATCACCACGAGCAACTGCTTTTTTACATCACAAATCATTTGATCCATTGAATATATAAAATGTGGATTATTGCAGCTTTAAGATGGCGACTCCATCTTGGAACAGGTGCCAGCTCACAAACTCTACATTGTCATGTCCGAGGATTAAACTGAAAGCTATGTCTTTGGAACAGGAAGAGCTTAACAGTCCAACAACAGAAAAGCGGATGTAGTCTTTTTAGAAGCTTTAGTAAGACATTTTGAGACACTTGTCCCCATGGAATAACCGCTAAGAATTCAAGCTGACCACAGCCTTCATAAAGGGAGCAAGCTACAAACTTTAACAGGCAATTTTAAAGTTTTATCGCCACTTCTTTAAATTCTCCAGCAGCATACATGACAGTATCACGTGGGGAGACTGGACGTATGCAGAAGCCGATAAGAACAGGTTGAGCTAGGGTGGAATACATTCAGCTTCTGTTTCATGGCGCTTGCTGAACCCTGCCAATTGACGCCCCCATAAAGCAAAGCTCCTCAGTGCACACTGTTCTGAGGTGTAGCACACTACATGCAAAGCTACTTGTTGCCCGCAGACAGCCCCAGTGTACCTCAAACTTGTTGTTTTGTCAGCTCTCAGGAGCACTGATCTAGAGAGGACTGAGTGCTTGTATTATTAGATAGAGAAAACCACTCAGCACAGCATGTATTTCATATATCTGTCAGCAGTGTTTAGTGTGTGTGTGTGTATGTGTGTCTATGTGAACCAGTGCACTCTTTTTAGTGTGTTTGAAGCCTTCTCTCAAGGTGTTTAGAAAAGTGTAAGTATGAAAGTGTCTTAAGGAGTTCTCAAAGAGAGCGGATACTCTTTGATGCTTTTTCCCACAGAGAGAGCCACAGAGGCAAGCTGCACTACAAAAAGAAAAAAGACGCTCCTTTCTTCTGTCACTCAATAACCTGGCTTTTCTCATTGAGGAGCAGAAACTCTTTACTGTATTAGTGAGAGGTATTAAAAGTTCACATTCAATACACTACAGAGTAAAACAACCATTTAAGACGTGTTCATTTTGAGGAAGTTGGAAAAAAAGGGAGAAAGTAGAGTTGAATGTATGTCATGACTGCGGTGATAGAAACAGAATCTGAACAAATGAAGATGCTGCATACGGGGAATGTTTTCCTCACAGAGAATTTTTAGTGATCTGCTGTTGAACAAGGAGGCCAGTAGCTGTGCACATTGAACTTGACTGAATATCATCCTCAACTTTAAGAAAGAAGACTTTAACCTCATAATGATAATCATTTCATTGTGTGTGATATGCATAAAAATGGGTTTATTTATATTTATTCTTGCCTGCTGCATTATTGTGTAGGGGAGTTTCAGCAATTACCTAAATTATCTGAAAAAACATACATGTCACACACATACACGCTTGTCTTAATTTGTAAAATAACTAATTGTATAGTACGATTGTCATTCATTTTTGGTAGTATAATCACAAGACAGTAATAATAGTAACTATTGTGGGTTATGTGTTTGTCTCTAGGAGCTGGATAAAAAAGGCTACAGTGCTATCACTACAGAGATCAAGGAGGGGCATAAGTTCTACTACGCTGAGGACCACCACCAGCAGTACCTGAAGAAGGTACCTAAAGGCTACTGTGGCCTCAAAGGAACCGGCGTCTCTTGTCCCATTGGCGCCGGGAAGGATGAACTTTGACCGATGTGTGGTGAGAAAGATGAGGTGCTGTGTTATTTACCATCCTTAATCTTGCTTTTTTTTGTAACTATCTGATAGACTGGTTAAATATATGCATTTCAGGTGTATCTATCAGTAGTTTTTAACATAATATCTTATAACTTAGATTGCAAATACATTACCAAGGCTCAGGGAATTTAGTGAATATAGTGTCTGCACCAAAAAAGTGCTTTTAATAAGATACAAAAATGCATAAAAACAGCATTTAGGAGACAGCCCAGTAGCTCACCTGGTAGAGTAAATATAAAGGCTAAGGCCTTACACAGTGGCCCAGGTTCAAATCCTGCCCCAAGCCCATTCCCCTCTCTCTACTGTCACTATCCAACAAATCAAAGTAAAAAAATAACAGTATATCAAAAGACAGCGAGGAGGAACTTGATTTTTAAGTTATCAGCTGTATCAGTGTCTGTTGCAGCAACAGTCAGTTTCCATAAGGTGGGGCTATTTCTCAAAAAAACACTAGAGCTCCAGCAGAATGTTTTTATTGCATCCTTCAATGTGACACAGTGTGTAATAAACCATGTGAAAACTTTGTCTTCCAAAGTTGGTTGATTGGAAGAAAATCAACCAACATGAATGGATTTACAGTCCAGCAACCTTTTCTCACCCATTTTAAAGCCAGAACACTCCAGAGAGCTCAGGTATTACTGTTAAAATTCTTAAATGCAGAATTGAATGACAATGAGAAGCTTAGTAACAAGGCAATCTTGAATTTAATGCAATCTTATTATTTTCATTTTACTGTGAATACGTAATGTAAATGAATAAAGACGGACTGAGCACTGCCTTATTTTCTTTCTCACTGTGAAAATTAATAAAAAACATCTCCAACCTTTTGTTTATGTACCGTGCATGTGTTTGTGTAAGCATACGTTGGCGTGTTCATGCATGCATGTGTCTGCCCATGTAGCTATATATATCTATTTCAAAGATAAGTCACTGTAGAATATTTGTCCCCTTCTCTGCCCCATTTGAGAAGGGACACACCATACCAAAGAGGGACAAATGTGTATGACTCACCATGAGACACACAGATACACACACTCATTTATTGCAGAATGAGGCACTTGAGGCACTCATGTATGCAATATGATACACACTTTGCTTAAACCCTCGCCCCACTTCCCGCAAACACATAATTATGTGTAAAAGTCCTTTTATACATCATATAATTGCATATCATAGAGAGCAATTACTGAATAAGCATTGTGTGCAGTACATTTTCTTAATTATCAAACACACTTACCTGAAAGTCTATTTAAAAATGAAAATCACACTCATCTTTGCACTCCAAAATATAGAGATGGTATCTAGAAAAAGCTTTTTGGTCGACCGCAGTAGTGTGATTCACCCGCTCTCGTTTTTCCCCCTCCCTCTCTGCTATCTTTCTTTCTCTGTCTGTGTGTATGTGTCACATCCTGACACCTGTGTGTAGGTGTGGACCAGGGCACAGGTGCAGGTGCAACCTCTCAGGGCCTATTTTAGTATTGGGACAGATATTTTTTGCATGTGTCTGCATGCAGCAGCCGTGTGTGTGTGTGTGTGTGTTTGTCGGGGCATGTGAAGCTGTGGCTTGCTTGATCGAACCGCGCTGAGTGGTATGTGGTTGGGCCAGCTAGCTGTTTTCCAGCGCCCGCCTATATTTTTGCATGCTGTTCTGTTTTGTGAAGTGTGTGAGAGGAGATAACCTTTTAATAAAGTGATCTTCATTTCCTCGGTTTTGAAGAGAGGATGGCGTGAAAGCTTTAATCGCACGGTGAAATCAGTTTTTCCACCATCTGCAACGATGTCTGACTTCAACGAGAGATGCCTCAGTGAACCGCGGCATGATTCTGTTTATTTCTGCCACATTACAGAGAAGGAGTTATAGCAAACTATGGTTATAAGTCCATTATATGCAGGAAGAGATTCAGATTTGCTGTGGAAAATTACCACCTTTAATGCAGACACATTAAAATGAGTGACATTTAGAAGTAGCTGCGTGATTAAGTGTATGTTTTCTGCGTATTCCTTTGTAATAGATTAAAATGGGGCATGGAAATGCATGGTACTCTCATATACGCATCCATACACAAACACAGTGAGGCAGGGCAGGACAGGAACCAGGCTGTGTGTGCCCTTCAGACAGAGCCTATTGTCTGCAGATGGGCCTTTAATGGCCCCACAGCTGGCCACAAAGAGCATACCGCTCCAGCTCGCTGCTATGCCTCTCACTGGCCTATACTCAGTCACCCTGAAGAGAGGAGGCAGCTCACAGGCACACCAACACCACTGTGTGCATGCATTTGAGACCTCATTCTATTATACTCCTAAAAGCATGTTTTGTGTTTATTTTCCTTTCCTCCTTGTCACATTCTTTCAAACTCCATAAAGAGAAATCCTCGCCCCGATCGTTTGAAGAAAAGAATAGGTTTGCAAAAATGCGTGGCACCGTGGAAGAGTGGGCTGAGACGGAGAGAGAGAGAGAGAGAGAGAGGTGCTGGTTGTTTATCAGAAGTACTCTACACTCTTACCCACACATGTACACACATGCACACGCACACAAATACAAACACACGTCCCAACCACTACCTCTAACTCCGTCCTGTACTGCCGCCTAATGCAAAAGGCAGCGCCCACGCAAAAGAAACAAACACACCAGAAAGACACCTTGCAGAGACGTGCACCCACACAAATTTCTTGCACTCTCATATGCTCTCTATTGTGTCCTCCTTTCACAGCTTTTCATTTATCTTCCTCTTGACAGCTTTAATAGATCTTGCCATATGTATATACAGCACTGTGTATGTATACATCATTGATAATAGCATTGTTTTATACCATTTCCTCTTTAGATGCTGTGCCGCTAAATAATTTGTTTCTGTAGACACCAACACGGCATTGTTTGGTGAGCTGTATAAATAGAACAATAGCAGAGAGTATTCTGGTGATGTCCTACCAGCTGGAGAATTGTTGTGCCTTCTTGTCCTGTTCCTCACATAATTACTTTTCTAGATTGTAGAGGTAGTAGGCACACAATTGGATATGTGTGTGTGGGTGTGTGTATTTTCCGCTGCATGTGTGATAGCAGAGGGAAAACAGAGCTTGCTTTTCTATATGGCCTGCACATTTCTCTCGTGATGTTATGAGAGTTGTGTGCAGGGTTTTGCAGATGCCAGATGTGTTTGCATCCCTCCCTTGCTCTCCCTTCCCCTCCCTCTGGTTCCTGCATGGGCGCAGGGTCTCAATCAGAGCATCAGGGCTCCAGGAACCGGAGCACAGCAGTCTCTCTGTGCTGCCCAGAGAAGTGCAGCCTTGTCTGGGTCAGTGCATCTGCAGCCTGGGGGCGAGCCGGGGGAAGAGGGCAAACCCTGGTGCCCCCTGCATGCTGGTTTTACTCGAGGTCTTCTCTGTTGGCACAGCCTGACCCCTGAACTCTGGGGGAGAAACACAAGCTTATATAGTTGATCTGCACGTAGCCAGAGAAACTTGTGATTCTGAGTCAAGCACAGGTGATGATGACACATTAGAACATTTAAACAAACTGTTATCTCAAACAGGTTAGTTTGGTGTAGCAATACCTTTATTAAAAAGATAAACAAAAAAGGCGAGCTCACACATGCTCACATATACACAGGCGTGCGTTCTTTCACATAGAGAAAATGTCACAAGCCTGTTCCTCCTTTCCAGTGGGAATAGCAATGGGTTAAGGGTGGGGGGTGCAGGGCAGCACGTGCTGCAGGGCCTAGTTGGCTTGCTAACTGGCCCACTGGCTTTCTGGCTGACGGCCCACACTGTGACACTCTGCACCTGGGAGCTTGTGTGTTGTCAGCCATGCTAGCTAGCTCAAGCTACCACCACATGACACACAGGAAACACAGAAATAACTGCTGAGTGTCTTCAGCATAGTAACCACTTACTGGGGGTGTGCTGCTGACAGAAAGGGGTTGATGAGAGGGGTTAAAGGAAAGTAGAAGACAGAGGAATACTGGTTGGAATGGGACTGGCTGATAGCATTAGGGAGTAAGAATAGAAAACTGGAAAGGAAAGTGAAACACAAAGATGCTAAGGCACTTGCACCTGCACTGTGTTGTGTTATCGGAAGATTCCCCGGCCTTGATACAGACACTGTGTTCAACTATATGATGCATTTATGTATTCACTGAAAGTATATCCTGTTTATCACTACAAAGAGGGTTGAGCAACAGTGAAAGATTGACATTTAACAGCTGAGGTGTAACAGTTACATTTCCAAAACATCTCTTATGTTCATTATCTGGCTTTATCTGCTCTGTCCATCTGCGCCTTGAGTCATCTGAGCCTCACCTCGCACAGGTGTGTGTGAGAGAGAGCATTCTGTAACGATATCAGCAAGCACTTGATTAGAGCTCAGCACAGGAAAGTGTTGTGCAACATTTGGGCTTTCAGGTGGTGATGTGCTGATGTGTCACCAATCTGAGGCAAGAGGACAGAATCAGGACACACGCACGCACACAGTTTGCTTTGCAGCATGCACAGACCATGTTTTCTGCGCATGCCACAGATAGCTCATTTCTGCCAGCAGTGCAGATTGAATCTTGTTGTGTTCAGTTTTCGGGATAAGAGCCAACGTGACAAGGTGGCACCATGGCGGTATCATCTGTTTCTATATATGTTTCTGTTAAAGATGTGAAGGAAACGGGTAGATGGAGGGAGAAAAAAAGAGAAGGGAGGAGAGATGGTGCTGGCTGCAGCAGGAGGAAGCTGGGTCTGATGCTTCTCCATGCAGCTGCTCCCAAACACCCACACTCTTCCTGTTGGAGTATGTGTGTTTGTGTATGTGTGTTAAATTTTGAGTATAGAGTGTCTTACTTCCACATAGGGAAAGGAAGAACCTGTACTGTTGCAACACACAAATCTTAAAACTTTTTACTCACTTAGTGCTGATTTAATTATTTTATGTTATTGCATTATATTGAATATATGTAATAATATTGAAGTGCGTGCCATACTATGCTAAGTGGTGAAAAGTGGATTTCCAAAGAGGCAAAAAAAGATACAATTTTAAACATTGCGCTGGACAGATCAATCACATACGATCAAACAGAAAACTGGCTTAGAACAAAAAGAGTTCAGTGGTGTAGCTTGAAAACTCTTGAGAAGTACAACTTCAGGTATCCTACAGAAGTCACAGTCTAAAATAGCTGAAGTAGGTTTCTCCTGCCTGGCTGAGGCCCTCTGTGTCTTTTCAAAGAAACACTGGCCTCAAAAAACATCCGCTGGTGGAAACACAGGCCTGACAGTCAGTGAATGGAAAGGTTTGAGGTAAGAATGTGGCCACACTGAGGTGTCAGCAGGGTGTGCGATTGCGTACCTGTGACTGTGTGTACTTGCATTTATATGCATGTTTGAGGCGGTCTTAAGTTTCCATCACAGTGAAATGCTGCCACGTTGCTGTTGTAACTGACTGGTTGGTTTGCTTCACCTTTGTATCTGTTCAGGTTGACCTCTGACATGCTTGTTCTCTACAGATAGTCAGTTTGTGCCATGTATAAGCATTCACCTTCAACTTCTGCTTCTGTTTAAAATGTGAGAAAGTAATGAAAAATGAAGCAGTTCCATAGAAGAAATATATCAACAATATGACGCAGGCTTGAGTAAACGCAAAATATAATCAAATGTGTTGTTAATGACATTACATTTTGCTCATGTAATGTAATAATATCAAGCAATTACCAACTAAAGCCAGTTTTAACTGCATTTGCTTGATCAGTGATGTAATTTCTAAGTGAACAGGCCAACTGCAAACTAATTAATGGCTGAAAGAGGAGAGTTTGCTTTACAGTCAAATCAACATAAAGTCAACAAATTTAACAGAACTAAACTAAACACACATTTGTCATTAGGATAACACTGTCAGCTCAGCTGTTACTGTGTATCCAGATATGTAGACCATAGCCAGCGTGTCAACTGATAGCGTGTCACATGTTGCCCGACAATTGAGATATCACATTGGATTGGGATACTGTAATGACTGGAGGTTCCTCTTTTGTATTGTTCTGTTCTGTGGCAGGATACAGTACATCTGCTTCACACTCCATAATGATGGGGGAACAGCACGTGTTCAGCACCAAAACTGTGTGATGGACTATTACATTACAGTGGTGCCAGTTCAAAGTGGATTGCTATTATTGAAGGAAATTAGAGTTTTTGGCAAATTACAGAACAGGATTTCCTCCAAAATCTTTGGGGTGATTTTTTTTATTTTATTTTAAGTTGCACATTTTGTTGGTAATTCCTGATGTTGAAAGTGACCCGATCCCAAAAGGACGTAAAAGTTTGAAATAAATGTCAAATGTATTTCAACTTAAGTATATTTACTTACTGTTCATTGTTGTCAGTGCTGTAAGTTGTCAAAAATAGAGCTGAAAAAAATTGTCAATTAGTTGATCAGAAGAAAAGAGTACAGAAGAGTTTGATGCTGTCTTTGTGATGTGAGCTAAATATTTTGGGTTTTTATGTCTCCTGGTCAGACTAACAAGGAGGTTGAAGAAGTCACTTTGGGCTTTAGAAAATTATGATTGACATTTTATAGGCAAAACAATTAATCAAGAAAATAATTGTCAGCTTAACTGATTATAAAAATGATGATGAGTTGTAGCCCTAGTTAAATATTAGACATATTTTTTTTTATTATGTTACATGGCGGTGTACATTTCATGTCACTGTATTATTGCTGTTTCTTGAAAGAATTAAGTACTTCTGTACTGGCCAACTTCCCCAAGATTCAGATGTCAGAGGAATACTTCATTTTGAGAGATGTACAGTATATTTTGTGTAACGATGTTTAAGAAGAACGAACATCTGTGATGGCTACCAACACATTCTGATTCACCACCCATTCTCTGAAATCTCACATTAACATAACCTCTGATGACAAATACGTCCTCTTCCTCTCCAGCCTCCTCTTCTCCTCTTCTACTTTTACTTATCTGTCTTTGTCTTGCTCACCGCTTCTCCGTCTGTCACACTCTTTCCCCCTTCTTCTCCTGGGGCCGTGTGAGATGAGTACAAGACAGGGGAGAGTGTGAGCTGTGGTGAGCCACAGACCAAAATAACTGGTACTTTTTTTATAAAAACACATGTGCATCCACCCACACATAAAGTCACACATGTGTGCACAGTCACACACACTCACACAGACACACAGAGGTCCCTTTTACTTGAGGATCCCTAGAGAGAGTTGTAGTTGGATATATTTTGGCCGTGCCAGAGGAGATTGTGTGTTGATATCCAGTGCTGGAAATGGACCTATACGGAGAGTGAAATAGGCCATGTGTGGGTGCTGTTTATCAGTTAAGAAATTCTAACTTTTGTCAACTGTCTGAACTCAAGTTGAAACTAGAACATAATGTTTCAGAGATAAAGCAATTGTTTCATTCTTTCAGTTTCTACCTTTTTTCCCTACAATCAGCTGCAAGATACTTCTCTCCATCTGTGTCTCACTTTCTCTCTCTGGTGACAGATCCTGCAACCTCCCTATCAAGCTGGCATAGTGGCATCATTCTAAAACTGGTATTAGGCATTTCCTGCTGCGTCCGTTGGCGGGTGTGTGTGTGTGTGTGTGTGTGTGTGTGTGTGTGTGTGTGTGTGTGTGTGTGTGTGTGTGTGTGTGTGTGTGTGTGTGTGTGTGTGTCAGTGTGTGCGTGTGTGTGTCGGGGCGGAACGCACCTGGTCCGCGCAGCTGTGGGGATCCTAGCAGGGGGGAGAGAGAGAGATAGAGGAAGGAGAGAAAGAGAGAGGGATGGGAGGAGGCGAAAAGGGGGCCCTGTGTGTGCTGTACTGGGGACCTGATGAGTTCAAATAGAAAGGAAAAAAAAAGGAAAAATAGAGGGACGCGATTTCTAGGCACAGTAGCTTAGAAGCGAGCATGAGTTTACACTGTATTCACAATCTTTAAAGTTTGCTGGAACTTCCCTTTTAAAAGCAGTTTTTCTGTCTATGACAATCAGTCTGTGAAAGACCGATTTGTAAGTTTCTGCATCAGCCACATGTGACAGGAATCAGTGTGCTTGGTTTATTTTCTCTGGTAAAGATGTTAATGTCAAATGTTATTATTAATTTGTCTCAAGACAGGAAATAAAGTGCATGTAAAACCACAATAAAGTATATCTAAAGCTTCACCTGCACAATGCTTCACCCAGTTGGTGGTTGTTTCAAAATACCTCATGTGAAAGTAATTCTGTTGTGGTTTAAATGCAGCCAATTTACACATTTCTGACAATCATCGTTTGTGTGCCCAGTTTCCATCCGTCTATTCCTGAGTCCCAAATACATAACTATCAGTCTGTAGGATGCAGTTCCTCTGATCTTCTGCAGAGGGGGCAAGGAATCTGGGAACAAAAGAATGGAAGAGCAGTGATTGAAAGATTTCACAGTGCAGATTTTTAAATGTGAGCAAATAGGGCAACGATAAGAGGAAACCACGTAGGAACCCACACTATGAGGAAAAAAAACAAATGTGTCTATCAGGCTTTTTCATTCAAAGTGCACAGAGCTCCTCCAGGATGTAACGAGAGCACAGATGTGCTCATATGCACACACACTATTTCACAGCTGGACGACCAAAGGGCAGTAAGCACTGCGAAGGTCAAATGACCAGGTCAAAGGTCAAGCCACAGAGAACTCCAATAGAAGGAAAGGGGAGCACGAGGGCATCAAGCACACGAAATTCTCACCCTCACACACATTTATTAAAATCATCATCCAACACTGTTGCAACTCTTGAGCCTTTGCTCCAGATGGACAAAGGAGGAAGAGAATGTCAGTCTTTCTGCAGTTTGGCCTGAAGTTAAAGGCTGAACACACACACGCACGCACGCATGCACACACATGCACACACTGACTCTGAAACAGTATGTCAGTCAGACTTGTGGTCATTTGATAAGAAGCCAAGCCGGACAACTTGGGTCAACATCAAAGCAGCAACTGAGTAGATCCATTTCCAATACGTTTCCCCTTGTTCTTTAGAGGTAAGCGATTAAAAATCAAAGTTTTGACATATTATATAGTATAGTGTCAAATTTTATTTTATTTTACTTACAATGTTCTCTGAATATGTGTTTGGTCACTCCAAAGGCTATAATATGTAACATTTCTGCATTAAAATGTCTAAAAATGCTATATATTTTGTTAAGTTTTGTACTAACATCCTAAATTTTTCCAACAATGTTAAAACTGTATGTGTAAAATCAGTCATTTTATTCACCATTCGCCTGTAAATGCTGTCATATCCCCTTTGCACATGCATCAGCACTGTGGTTGTCTGACAGAAGCTGTCATAAAGTGACTTTTTATCCAGTTTTAAGCCACGTTGTAATACACTTTTTAGATGAAGGTCGTTTTTACCTATATATTTTAACCAGATGAAGGATTTCAGTCATCGGTCGTCTGAGTCTTTAGTTGTCAGAGGAACAAGCTGAACTAACGTTAGCAGTATCTCTGCTGGTAGGCCCTTCAGGATGTCCGAACACTGATTTTGAACATTTCTCTGATCCCATGATCCCACCCTTATTCACAACTTCATTAAATATTTTTTGGGTTTTTTTTGATGTAAGAGACCCCATAGCGGCAGAAATGACATGTTGGTATGTTTAAGTCTTAAATATACTGTAGATTTTAGTATTTTTTTTCTTTGAAGTGAGACTAAAGAGAGATTAAATAACAACAGCAATCTTACTCTTACTTACAAATTTAAAGTTAAAGTCATAGGCCATTGAACATACCCTTGTTCAATTCACCACACTCCTGCAATTGTCACTTGTAGCCACTGTGACTGCTGTTAAGTGAAAGTTACATTGTCTCATTTTAACTGGTCTGTAAGTTCTTAATAACTGTATAATATATATATATATATATATATATATATATATATATATATATATATATATTATATAACTGTATGAACTACTAACTGTGGCCTTATTCTGTGTTTTCTAATCCTCACAGGAAATCCAGAATAGCTGCTTCTTAATAATATTCAGGAGATGTTGGGTCACAGCAGGTGAAATGAAACAAGTCTTAATTGCCTCGAAGTGACCGGGCTAATGCATGACACATTGGTGTGCTGGTAAGTGCTCTAATTACAGCAAAGTGGATTTAGCAGCTATTTCAAAATGCCCAATCGCTACCCAATGTGACCTTTGAATAGATAGACATTTTGTGTCATTTTGTGTGAGCGGAGTGTGTGGAACGGGGTTGGTTATTGGTGTTTCTTCATGTGGCAGTAAAGATAATATGAACAGTCTATTTTGAGAGTGACAAGTATATGAAATTGAGTTACAGAAGATTTGTGGTCTCGTATATGAGGAGAACAGCCAAGACATCAGGGGGGAAATTTCCTGAGAGCGGTCTTGTGATCTGTGTGAACATTTTTCCTTTGGGTTTCCTAGCTTTTATGTTCATTCCTATATCCCTGAGAAGGACTTATAAATACTTGCCATGGTCCTTTATACACATTTGCACTTGTATATACTGAATGTATATAAGCTAGGGTTAGTTTAACAACTGCATCCAATTCAAACCTCCTACTATCACCAACAACAGCCAGGCATTCACACGTTTGTCTAATTAAATAAACTAATTAAATATGATTGTTTTTTATGGCAGCAAACTGTGAAAGCTGCACTCTTTTCCCGTAACTTAAAGCAATAACACTTGAAACCACTAAAATCTCATCTTTCCTCCACTTATCAAACAGCTACGTTGTTGTTCAGTTTGTTATTTTTACTTCAAATTACCTGTACCGCACTCACACACACACCATCTTATCAGTAGATTAAGATATGCTAACTAACGTGCACGGTCAACGATGCATGTTACTGACCCCTGAGTTCAATTAGCCCCGGCATGCAGCCTAATTTCACAGCGTGACCCCAGCTGCTGCACAGACACACTCACACAGAGAAACCAGTGCAACTCCTTTAAATGTCTATCTGTATCCACCGGTGATCTATGTGTTCTTTGAAGGAAGCACCAGCGAGGGGGTGGAAGGAGGGGACCGGGTGAGCGAACGCAGGACCTCGAATGGATGACAGAGAGCGGGGGTGAGGAGGAGGAGAGATGCAGTATGGGACAAGAGGTGAGGAAGGTGACTTTGTATCCACGGTGATTGATGGATGTTCACATACAGAGATAGTATCTTTAGAGGCTAGATGACCCCCGACCCAACCCATAAGGCCTTACGCGAAGACAACAACTCCAACATTTGTTTTGAAACTGAAAGAGAGGTAGAGAGAGGTCATGAGGCAGAGCGTGTTTGTGAAGGACAAGAGACTAGTCTCAACAATAACTAAAGAGAGACACTACCAGCAGGCTGACCTTCCATGAGCTCCCTTTTTTCTCTGTACCTATATTTCTATAGAAATTTTTCGAGGAGCTCCTATTGCTGTATGTCTACATCACTATTCATTTAAGTTCAGATCTATGTTTTCCTACAAGATGAAATTATTTTTGCAAGAAAGCAGCAGAAATCATACAAACATAGACATAATCAAAACACAGTAAGACAGTTGAAGACATTATAGGTCCAGGTGTTACATTGAGGAGGATCTATTTGCAGAAATGGAATGTAATATTTATAGATATGTGTTCATGTCAGTATATTCACCTGAATATAGGAATCGTTGTGTTTTCATTACCTCACAATGAGCGACAGGTCACTTTCGCCCAGGAAGAGTAGCTGTTGCGCTCATAAAAACTAATGGAGATCTAATTAAATAAACAAATCTTATATATAGCATAATATCTTGCCACAGAAAATGATTATAATGATTTCATAGGTGTCATTCCTATTCTGTTGTAAGGTTGTAGTCGATTTTAGCTCACATGCAGTAATATAAACACAAATAAAGGCATAGTTTTGCAAACAGATGTGGTCTTTGAAATTAGGCAAAAGTAAGCAATTGCATGAAGCCACAGAGGCCAAAGGGATCCAACAAAACACAGAAATAACAGGTAATATAAGCTTGTGGGGAGGAGAGGAAAAAGGAGGTACAGAGAGAAGCCCTCTGCCCTCTCTGTCTCCAGCCAGTCTACACCAACATCTGGAGCTCACATCAGCCTTCCTCAGAGACTGGCACTGCCGGAGAGAGGGATGAGAGGAGGGAAAGAGAAAATAAAAAAGAGGAGAAGAAAGGTATAGAAGTAAAAAAAAAATGGAGGGGCAAAAAAAAGAAAAGAAATATCAGATGTGGAAAAAAAATGTAAGGGTCTAAACCTTTATATAAATTCTCTCCCAATATGATTCAGATTCAAGATAGAGCTAAACAATAACTGTGTTTGTGTTCATACATCTGTGTTTGTGGTGGGGTGTGTGTGTGTTCTGCTGATATTTTTCCAGTGATCATCTTCAGTGCATAGCAAAGAGCGCATGAACGCTGGTTAGCTTCTGTGGCGAAACACTGTGTGGCAGGAAACAGAAGAACCTGTGATCTCTGCAAAAACACTAATGGAAAACCTCACCCAGATAGAAAACGTGGGTGTGTGTGTGTGCATAAAAGCACAAGTTTGTGTTTACATGCGTGCATTTGAAGACCTGCATGTCAGTTGCAAGTTGTCAGAATTATGATTGTTCCGAAGACTGTACTCTATGTTCTCTTAAAGAGGAATAAATGCAATGTACATCTGTTTTTGCAGCAATTAACTCGAGAACCACAGACTTTCCTTTACAGATAACAAGTGAGACTTCCCTTTGAAATGTGCAAACACAACAGACAAGAAAAAAACCCTAACCTTTTCACAGCTTTTTCTAACTGCTTTTTAAAACCTGTTTTCAAAAACGTGAGCTATATTTGGTCTAACTGCTGACTTTATGTTATATATAAGATTTTTAAAAATGTCATCAATTTCTTGTTCTTTTTGTTTACCGCTCAATTGTTCACAGTCTTGTTGTGGCAAAAATGAATTCAAACCTGGATTATATTGTGCTCACAACTTTTTGAGTAGTCTTTTTTTATATGCTATTCTGGTGGCAAATTGGTGCCACATACAGCAATAGTGCATGTGGTTTACTGTTAAGACAATGACAGGAAATACGGTTTGACAAATAGTCTGAATGGTGCTGTTGAAATAAATGTCATCCATCTGGTCTTCCTAGCACGTTAAATAAATTCTCAGAATTACTTGGAAATTCAGTTTGAACCAGGTTTCTTGTAATTAAGTGCAATAGGTATTATCCCTCTGAAAACCACAGTAATCTAGATATTCTCATTGGCCAGGACTCTAGACCAGAGATGACAGGTATTGGTGACTGATTTAAGTGTGTTTGAGAAGCCATGATGGCCTGAAAACTCATCTCTGAGTAACGCTTGGCAATTTAGACTTTCACGGCCATGTCCTGACTTTGCGAGGGCGATATCTCAACCGTCTCGACTCACGCTGGTATTTAAGAGGAGATTTAACTGGGTCGACGGATGAAAAATCAGGTTGAAGCCAAACCCATGCAAAAGAGGTGATAGTGTGTTCATGTGTGCATATATGCGTGTGTGTGCAGGGATGGGGGGTCACAGGGATGTTCTTGACTGTGTCATCTCCAGCAGCTGTTTCCCTCAAACCCTGCCTCGCACCCTCCTCCCCCTCCCACCCCATCGCCTCACAATGAAACCAATACAAAAGAACAGGAAGTGCCTCCCGTTAACTGGGGCCCAATCAAAGCCATCATTATTCCCGTGTCAGAATTTTTAGAGGAAATAGCTTCTCAGAAAATATGCCAGCTGTGCAGGGAGTGCGGTATTATTGTCTTATAGGTCTTGTCTGTTTTTGCTTTCTTTTTTTTTTTTTTTCACTTATCAGTGGCTGCTAACAAAAGGACGCCTAGACCCGTCTCGACCACGTGCACGGCACACTGTCACTGCTGTGCGTTCACAAGGCAAGCCAGGCACTGTGTTCTCTGGGGCTGGGTGGTTATTGTGCGCGCTGTGAAAAGGGCTCCCCTGCTGTGCCTGCACCGGCTTCTTTGGTTCCCATCCTGAACCGAGCAATTGTCTTTTTAAAATCGTGCGAGCGGAGCTGAACCCAGAGAGCACACAGATGCAAGACTACATACATGATCATACACACACGCACACGCACACCACACACACACACACACACACACACACACACACACACACACACACACACACACACACACACACAGCTTTGCCTACTGAAGCCACATCTGTAAGAATGCTGCTCAGATTACAGCATAAACGGTGGGTTCAGGTGAAGCCTAACGTTTGCCAGATGCTGTGGTAAAGTCACCAGGAGGTTAGCCTAACATTGGAGTGTTGTTGTTGGTCAGGGAGGGTGGAATCATCTGCCTCCCTTACAAGGGGGGGGGGCACATCTGGCGTGAACAGAAAAAGTAATTTATGAGCATTATCCTAAACGAGCGTGAATAACAGCGCTTATGCTTTTGCTTATCTGCAATATTTTAACCGCAGAATGGAGCTTAAATCTTTTACATTGATTAGTCTTGCAGCTAAAAAAGAACAGGCAGCTTCTCGGTTGATCCGATCTCCACTTTGTCCTCTATAATCTCTCTGTCTCTCTGAGGCCTTGCAGACGTCTGGAGGACAATGATTAACTAAGTCACTCGACGCGTTGACACAGGTGAGCACTACTCAGGTTGTTAAACAGTCATTACAGGGATGCTGTGATGCGAATGAACAACACACACACACACACACACACACACACACACACACACTTTGATTGACCACTAACATTGTTATAGCTTGTCTGTCACATTAGGCTGAGGCCTATTCAGTTACAAAATGCCACTGTTGACTGTATTTACACTGATTAGATAAAGGTGATGTCCCATCTGACTGAGTCCTCTGCTGACATTCAACATAAAACCCACATAGGGAAAAAACTAATTTTACACTTGTGACTTTTGTGAATACAAAGACATGATAACTGATTTCTATCTGTTTAACATTAGTTCTCACCTCTCATAAACTGGGCTTTGTCAGGCCTATCTCTTGCTCCAAAGGAGCTGCTCTGCGTCCTTCACTGTGAAGCTTATCAGTGGTGTTTGAAGTGCTCGTCTTTATCTGAGCTCACTGTTGAGGTCATCAGCCTGACCCAGTGGTCCCTATCTTTGCCCTCACTATTTCTCTAGTGTCCTGCCTTGCAGATAGTTTTGATTTTATTTGCCGAAGTTTTCAGATATCCAACTCTGAGTGGAAAAAAAGGATTGTTTAATGTGAAAGTATGACGTTAAATGTACGTAGACGGTAAACAAAGAGAGAAGGTGATGACATATGAAGAAGTTTCCTGTCTTGAACTGAGCTGGGAACTCTGTAGGTGTCTAAGCAAGAGTTCAAATGGAAAATAGCACTGCGATTTAAATAAAAGCAAGTGGCTGTGTTAATGTGCGTGTGTGTTGTTATAGGTAAAAGTGAGAAAGTAAAAAATGATCCAGGATCACAACAGCAATCATTTTATCCTTGCCTGTAATAATTGCAGGGAGAACAACTAATTACACTTTTAAAATTACAAATTAATCTACCAGAATTGTACCTCTCCTGAGAGAGAGAGAGAGAGAGAGAGAGAGAGAGAGAGAGAGAGAGAGAGAGAGAGAGAGAATACTGTGAATAAACCACAGACCTCATTGTGAACAGTTTCCACTGGAAGCAGTCTTTATCAGGTAATCAAATAAGCTCTATTAATTCAGTTCAGATCTTTATTGTGCCACAAGAGGAAATTGTTTTTGCAGCAAAGCAGCATAAAAACACATATGTAAAACATGACAATTGCAAAAATTCAAAGTGCTGTACTATGTTTGCAGTTCAGGATATAACAAACGCAACGAAAACACAAGGAATAAAAATAAGAAAGATAAAGTGGTAAGCTGTGCGGCGAACCAAGAGTTCAAAGAAAACTTGAACCTGTTGCTCCTGAACTACTGTCTGACCAGAGGTGAGGATGTCAAACTCCCTTAGAAGAGGATGGTTTGGAAATTGGTTAGGATAGATTTAACTTTCAGGGTGATTTCCGTAGAAAAGGCTGCTGCTCATTAATAATTTTAACTGCCTTGACAATATTTCCAAGTTAATTTTTGTGTTCCATACGAACAAAGCAGTGAGAAGTTAA